AAAATATCAATTGTTGAATAACTAAATTCCTGCAATTCTAGAGGTAGCATTTCACACTTGCAATCACTTTCTAAGCAGAATCATGTCTTTCCAAAATGGAGCAAAGAGCTGTCAAATGCCATATATTTATTGAGAGCTCACTATTTATTTCAATAAACAGTATTTTCTTCTAGGTACTCTCAGTTTAGAGCCAGCATACAGTAGACAGGAACCAGAGAGCACAATCAGTGAAAAGTATCCTAACCAGTTAATGAGGAGGGACAAATTCACTGGCAGACGTTTCCTCTTAGGAATTCGGAAAGTGATGTGAAGCATAATGGAGAATATATATGTTAGGTTCTTTCTTAAAGAATGGGTGCCATGGAAAAAGTCAACAAGGGAAGAGTAAGATATTCCTAGTGAGAAAAAGAAGCATGAGTGAGAGCTAAGCTGGGACACCTAATTAGAAAAGAGACAATAGCCCAGCTAAAGGGAATATATTTAGGAAAAGTAATGGGAAATATATTTATATGGTTGGGTTCTGCTAACTAGATGACTGAGTGTATGGTGGCAGGACTAAGACAGGAGGCAGTAAGAAATAAGGACCTCTTTATTTTTTCAACAAAAAAAGCATTATTATAAAACTTGGATATTAGAGAATTGAAGCTGGCACATTCAGGTTAGACTGAGGTAGAGCACAGCCTAGAATCAGAAACCTAAATGGGAGGTGGTGGCAACAATCAGGACTGAAATTACTGAGAAATAAGATTAAGTGAATATATAGTGAAAATGTTGTATTAAAAAGACATAAAAAGTCTTGAAAGAGACAATTTGGGAATTTAGGGCAAAAAGAGGCCCCTTGGGAGGTAATTATGACTCTCATCTTCCTTGTCAATTAGGCTTACAACATTATTTATTCCCCCCAAATCATTATATATAATCATATCTTAATCCATAAAGAAGAATATGGAACATAAGGTAGAAATCAAATCCAATACATAAAAATACATATTTATATTACCTCAAGACATAAGAACTGCTTAACGTTGGCATTGTAAGCTTATTGCACTATCTGAATGTGCTAATTTGAAACAAAGTTTTGTAGCTCTGGCTGGTGTTTTGTGTGGCCTAGTCCCTCAAGATCAAAAAGACTTCTCCCAGAAGTCTCCAAAGGCATGAACTATCTGGAGGAAATACCATACACAGAGCTCCCAGAAGTGCACATTTGAGTACCATTAGCAAAGGAGGGAGGGTTTGCCTCAAATTTCATGGGAATATACAAGGATAAAGGTCATTGCTAAGGCAGCTGGGACAGAAACCACTCAGGGACCCAATGCTTAAAGTCAACAACTTCTATAAGATACGAAAACAAAGTAAAAATGATGCCAATAGCAGCCTGTATTGATCATTTCCAGAGGAAATTTAGCCTTTGGAGCCACTCATTGTAGTCAGCCACATGTCATGTGCTCAGGGGAAATCAAGCCTGATGATTGCAGAAGCCCAGGTGATACTGGCAAAAGAGACATTTGCAAAAGCAGAGGCTGAGATATCAATATTAAAGCCAGGTGGGAAATAATTGTGTGTCATTCCAAGCTAGGCATTGAATTATAAATTTAAAATAGTGATTATTTATAGTTTTCAAAAGCTAATGTCTCCTTATGAAGATTTCACAGACAGCCTGACCCAAAGTAGCATGAGGAAAAATAACTCATTCCATGCAGGTTTGTGGTTTTTTCCAGTGACCTTCAGAGCTGAGAACTAATTTTCTGTTTTTTACTTTAAGTCAGTGTTTCCTTCTTGCACCTCCTGGTGCCAAAAGACAATATTCCCAATCATGTGATGCTGTTATTCCAAAAAAAAAAACAAAAAACAAAACACGAATCCAATAAGTTTCTTCGCAGTTATTCTTAATAATTATTCTAGCCCAAGCTGGTGTGGCTCAGTGGGTTGGGCACCATCCAACAAACCAAAAGTTATCTGGATCCATTCCCAGTCAGGGCACATGCCTGGGCTGCAGGCCAGGTTCACCACTGGGGGCATGCAAGAGGCAACTGATGTTTCTCTTCCTCTCTTTCTTCCTCCCCTTTCCTCTCTCGAAAAATAAATAAACATAAAAAATAATTATTCTAAAGATTATGATATTCCAACACGTCTCCTGCTTTCTATACATGTGCACAGTTGTGTGTGCATCGTTCATGTGCCCAGGGCAGGGTGTCTCTTTCAGCTGGCTCATATTTGGAACCCTCTCATGAGAGTCTCTGAGACAGTTTCTTGCATTTAAGAAAATCAGAATTTATGGCCACATATTTCTCTGAGTAAAAAGCATCTAATTTTCCTGTTGCCATCTTCTATGAATTTTCACTCACTGTAAAACTAGATTTAAGGTTAGAAAACGAGAGTGCTGGTTTTATTTTTATGGCCGATAGAAAGCATAAGTGTTGGGTTAAATATTGTAATTGCATATATTGACATTATTTCAGACTACGTTGTACTTTTTCATTGAATTTTTAACAATATTTTATTTATTTATATTTAGAGAGGGGGAAGGGAGGGAGAAAGGAAGGAAAGGAAACATCAATGTGTGGTTGCCTCTCGTGTGCCCTCTACCAAGGAACCTGACCCACCTCCCTTTGTTTTGTGGGCCCATGCTCAGTCCACTGAGCTACACCAGCCAGGGCCTTTTCACTAAATTTTTAAGCACTCTAAAATTTCTAGAGTATTAAGAGAGATTACCTATGACATTGAACTTTGGAAAGAAACCCTAACCATACTGTCACCTCAGCATAGCACAATCAGAATAAAGGATTCTAGGTCTCTATCAATTTGTTAGCAAGAAATAGGTTTTTTTTTAAGCATTTTCTATGGCTAGCCCTATGCCAATTAATATGGAGGACATCCAAGCTAATTAGATATTGTCACCACTCTAGTAGAATTTATTATTTTATTTTCAAGATTTTCTTAAGTTCAAAAAGCTGCAATCCTAAGGGAAGCAACGTGGACTAACAACTTCAGTTTATTAGTGAAGCTGTGTCCCAGGCAACCATGGGAGAAGGCTAAGAAAAGGCCTTTCTTTTCCTGGTTCACTCCAAACTCCCTTCTCTAAATATAGACACATCTGAACTTTATGTCAACAGTTTTTAGTCTCTGGTGAAAAAAAATCACATCATAATCTCATGAAGTTGATGATTAAACATTTTGGGTTACACTGAAAAGTGGTATTTCGTAATTTTATACAATGAAGAACATGTACACTTCTATGCCTGAAATGGCTGGTCAGTTTTAGTCAGTAACCCTTTTAGAAACTGTTAGTAAAATGCATATCTTTTCAAAGCAAGGGTATGTTCCCACCAAAAACTATGGGATATATTTACTTGAATACAAACACAGAAAGCATCTAGCCAGTTTCATAATTGCTGTAGAACACCTGAGAATCTTGTATATTCAGGGTACTATGTATTTTCAATTTTGATATGAAAACAACAGGCAAAAAGAGATTAATTTTAATGTTTGTGTTCTTTTGTGTTTCTATCACAGTGGACTCTTCATGGGTGAGCATAAATAAACTAGTACATGCAAATCTTGCTCATTTGGGGCAGTCCTTTTATATTGTAAATGCGATACCACATATTTTGCACAAACTCCTGCATACCTACTTTCCACAGCTTTACACTATCATAACATGGCTTTGGAGGGATAAAAATCCAGAAAGTTTTGACTACGCTTATGTATCTGCAGCTTAATCCATGTTTTCTTTTTGTGAAAAAGTAAACAAAGCAGGCATATATATTCAACTTGGCAGCCTAATTTTTTTCTTGCATGAATATGCAAAAACCCACCTGTTCAAACTTTGCAGTGACCCACAAGAAAAACAGCACTGACATGCTGATGGACTGACTATATTCCAGTGCTTTCAGGTTAGGCCCATTTAGATCCCAAAATCTCCATTGAAAGATTTGCCTGCTGCCACAGGTAGTCAAATCTGTTCCTAAGAAAAACATTGATTGACTAGCTAAGAAGAACTTTATGTACAGCAAAAACATTGTATAGCATAATCTCTGTCCCCAAGCTTGCAGATCTTCAAGAAGTACATGGTATCTCTTGTGGTAGCTGAAAGTCACGGGGTACATTTAAATATATTTACCATTCTTACTTTCCGTTTCAAAGAACATTGCTTTTTATTCCCTGGGTACCAAATCCATAAAAGTCCTTCCAGAAGAGCAGCTGTTCCTTAATGGCCTCAAAGAGTTACTGCACTACCTAAATTGAACATGGTTCAGTGTCTACACCAAGTGGGTCCTCAATTAAAGTTGATGGATTGGCTTTCTCATGAGCAGTAAAATTCAGTTTATAGACGTGCATCCTGTGAGACTAAAAATTAATAATTTAAGAGAACTGTGCATTGAATTCTTTGTGGCAATACAACAATATGTATAAACATAAAAACTACATCTGTTTCCATTTTTTAAAGTCGTTTTCTAGTTAATTGACAAATACTGAGATTCTCAATAAGGCTGAATCATAATCTAATCATAGTGAGGCTATAAATTTGGATGATTCCATACAAATATTCTGATTGCAATATTAGAGGAATTATAAAGAATTTGAAGACTTAAACATCTGAAAATAAGATGCAAGCTTGTTGTTCAGTAATAAGAAAAAATCAGTGTTAAAGATTGTCTATTAGTGTGAAACATTCATTTGAACTGTTCATTGCATGTTATATGTAGAATATAGATTTTGACAACTTTCTATATTATTGTATTGTTTAAGGAAGATGAGAAGGTTTGTAAAGATGTACCAGAAACGGCCATTTTATTTGATCAGGTGACACCCTTTGATCAGGTGAGAGCTCAGAAATCATCTACTTAGTCAAAGCAGAATCTTAGAGCCTGAGGGAATGGGCTGCTGGGTACTTTAGCAGAGGATAGCTTTTGCATCCTGCACTCAAGCCAGAGCTGTGCTCTACATCTGAAAAAGTTTGAGTGAATAAACTGACACGCATCTAACATCAACACCACAAGATGGGAAGCGGAATTAGTTCAGAGAGTAAAGAGTCAGCCAAAAGATCAAAAGAACTGGAGAAAAAGCTTCAGGAGGATGCTGAACGAGATGCAAGAACTGTAAAGCTGCTGTTATTAGGTAGTATTTTATTTCTTTTTTCTTTCAACCCCTAATGTTGCCTTCCATTGTGTTGTATTTACTCTTTCAAATTTTACTTTAAGTGTATTACCATATGGAATATTTATTATGAAAATGTGTTTGAAAATAAATGGACTTTCCATACACTTTATAAATATTTACTATTTTTTAGTATCTTATTACATGCTCTTAAGTAGAGAGACAAATCTTTATTAGATGGCTCAATTTCTCTGTCAATAATACAATTTGTTGTTCTCAAGCAAAAAGTAATAAATGTTTATTATTTTATTGCACCCTAATAATTTCTTAATGTCAGATTTTTAATGCTGAAAACAATCCTTTAACTACAAGTTATAAAGGTTTACAATGTTTTGTTTGAGCAGAAATCTGTTATTTGATATCCAAGCTAATGTTATTGAATTATTTGCACTGTTAAAACCAATTAGTCCAAAGTTATTTAACAAGTAACTATAAGAAACTTTAAATTATATTAATAATATTATTCAGGTTTCTGAATATAACCTGTGATATTTTCTGTATGTTTGAAAAATACTCCCTTTAAATCCTTTTAGAATATTTATAATTCATTCAAGTAAGGAATTATGTCTTTTTTGCCTTCTGATTCCCTCAAAACCCAGCACAGTATTTTACCACAACTATAAATTCAATAAATTTTTAATGAAATGAAAGATAGTAAGTAATCTATATGCCACTTATCTAAACATAAAAATATTTCACATGTAGCAGTCATTGGAAGAAAAATGTTTTTGAACTAAAAATAAAAACAGAAAAAGAATACAAGAGCTTTCATTTCATCATGGTTGTGTGTTCCTCCTCCTCCTCCTAGTTATATATGCAAAAGGGCTTCATTTCAGAATTGTGAAACTTCTCAAACAAAACACCCTCAATTTTTTAGTGTCCTCTCATTCCCAGTGGCCGACTGCAGGATTTCCAGCACTTGCTTCTCAAAGGACAAGACATGTCCTCTCCCTTCATTCACAGGTCCTGTGGGTGCACACTTGTCCATGCCCACCAGCCAATATACTTTCCGTAAGACTCCAAAGTATTCTAGGAGGCTTTGATCAAGAGTGAAAGTAATGTGGACACAGAAAAAGCAAATAAAATGTGAAAAGGGAAAGCCAACCATTTGCACACCATTCTGTGTGCCTCTTGGGCTAAGAACAGTGATATAAAAGTAGTAATAAAATACATGAAAAATCATTGTTTCAAACAAATTTCAAATGAATAAATGCATTTTTATACACTAATTATTATTATTTGTATTAAAGTGATGGGTTAGAGCAGAAGAAAGGGTAATTTTGGGTACCACAGATATGAAAGAATCATTAGTGGTACTATTCATATTTTACTTTCCCAAGACAATAACAATTTTATAAATTCACTTCCAGTGTTACCGTACAACTTGCTTGGATTTATTGGGTTTCAGCAATATGTGCACTGAACTTCCCAGTCACATCTTGTTTACACAAAATGAATCAAATTCTCTTAGGCTTGTCCTGTTTCAATAATATCCCAAACTCTTGACTAAGCTTTTCTTTCTGGACTATATTTGAATTCTTTGCAGTGATTAAATTGTTAAATTTCAAAACAACAAAGTGTTTTAACAATACTGTTTCAATTTTCATATTTCTAATTAAACTAATTTAATTGAGTTCAACTATTCAATCTGGCCTCATTAATACATCATACAAGTGTTAAACAGAACTAAACTAAACCTCCTCATCCTCCCAGTCTCAAGTCTCCTCATCAATGAAAGGTGTGTATTTTTTCCTGTCATTGAAACAATGGTTCTCATTAATCACTGTGGCCTGAATAACAGTTTTTTTAAGTTTATCAATGAGTATGTAATGTGGTACTAACCAGTTCATGTTCCTAGTAATCAGATCCTGAGACTAACTCTGTTTTTATAAGAAGTAGAAATCTAAAACATTTTGACAGAATTTATTCCTTACAGTGATCCTCTTATTAACCAATTAATTTCTAGGTGCCTCAATACATAGCATAGCTTTTCAAATTTAACATACACTGTATAGTAGATGTACCATTTGACATTACTGGACACAATATATCACTGAATCTAAAGAGCTATCAAGGCGCTGCCTTACAAATAAAGGATCCTCTTGCAGACACATTTATTTTTTATTACAGACATTTACCTTTCAGACATTTACCAAAATTAAAGAAGAGACTCCAGATCTGTTTCTTTAGCCAAAAGTAGGCTTCTAGGAAACACTGGAGATGACTCATATATTCTTCATCTTATAACTGCTATGAAGACAATAATGTTGTGTGCTTTAAAAGTTTAGCCTGTGCAGATCCTCCCAAAAGATATTTTACTTACATTTTAATAAGTAAAACAAATTCTAATGAATAAAATGTTCTTTTTTGTAGATTTCTGTTAGATTTTTTGTTTTTACTTTAAATGTTTGATCAAACTTTAATCTATTCAAAAGAGATACCTGCCATTTAACAGTAAGATCAGCATGAATCATGTTTCCATTTTTCCTGTCTCCTCTCTTTTTATTTTTTATTTTAAGTTTCAGTTAAAATTGATTTATTTTGCCATGTTACTTTCTTTTTCACTTTTACAAATTTTCATCACAAGAGTCCATTAGATTCAGAGCTCCATAGGAGCAAGAGGGAAAAATGAGCTCTCTTTCCTTCATATTTGAAATTCTTCCATGTTCACCCTATAATTCTCCATTGTGATACCGTAATTAGCTGTTAGCCAGTGATTTCCAGCATTATCATGGACTCTTCGTATTGGTGTTTCTTTTGTTCTGTTCTAAAATCTTTAATTCTTTCTTTATGTACTATATTATAAACATCACACTATATATTTTAAATGGCATCATCTGAGTTTTATTGTTTTAAAATATTATTTTAATTATCTGGCTCTTTGTATTTATTTATAAGGAATGGCAGATGGCAGCACCTAAGAGCTTGCTATAATGTCTCTTTTCCCAAAAGGCACAAAGCACTTAGACTAATGTTTTGCATATATATTTGGTTGTTTGTTTTAGATTAATTTATCTCTACTATTCAGGACATCTTTAACATAGACTCACAAGTCTGTCACATAAAAGATTCAAACCATTTATCAAGGTATTCCATAGTTAGTCAAATGACAGTACTTGTGAATGAGATTAAGTATCCTGCCCTGCTGAGAATGAGTCTTGTTAATTTAAGAGAACCTATCTCATTATATCAGAGAACATTTTTATATATACTTTTCATTCAAACACTGAACTATTGATGGAAGAACAATACTGTACATTTTAAAACATTTATATAAGCAACATGAGCAGTTAGGAGAGAAGGAGTGTAGTGAAACCTTTGTTGGTATAGAGACGCCAAATTTTACAGAAAATAAAATAAAATATCCCTCCAGTTCAGATTTTGATACAAACTCAGAATCCATCCTCTTATTTAAGGTTCCTCCAAAGGTTAATGCATAAATACATCAAATAGGATTTGAAACCAAAAAAGCATTTAGAATTCAAGGTGAAATTGACAGTGAGACCCACCAAGGTACCGAAGTATTCACTCTATTTATTAGATCCCGATGCAAATAAAGCAGAAGACATGGGTTAATTCCAGCCTCAATATTTCATATTCAAGTGGAATAAATTTGCAATTTATAATGATTCCTTTTTTTAGATATCTGAAAATGTCACTCTCTGACCCTTATTTTATATTCTATCATCTGTAATACTTTTCCACACTTAATGACTTAGTTCTTTGACTCATTATATTTCCTTCATTCAGAGTCAGCTATATTAGCTATGTTTGTTCTAAAATTTTGAAATACTCTGTCCCCTTAAACCTCTATCTTAATTGGCCTCATAACCTCAACCCTGTATAATTGCTCAAGGCCCTATCTACATTTACCATGGTTCTAAGACACTATTCCCAGTGATTCCACCAAGTGATGCTATTGAAAACCTTTTCATCCCATGTAAACTCCTAATTCTCTTCATTTCTATGTAACATAGAATAAAATGATAGACCATTTTCAGTTTTCTGGCTGACAAATTCCTGATTTTTCTCTCAGCTAGGCAGATAATTATTTTGCTTATTTCTACTTTTCTACTAAGATACTGTGAAAGACAGAATCGTCTGCATTCCCAACTTCGGTTTTATCCAGAATTTCCTCCCCTCCAAACTCAACCTAGGTGACTTCTCATGTACAAGCTAGCGAAGCTGCGACTTCAACCAGTTTTAACAAAGCAGTGCTATTCCATTTTCATTTAAGGCTAATTTCAGCCTTTGTTCTATAAATTTTGTCTCCTTCCATACTTAATAAGTTTTGTTTTATGAATTATTGTGTCTCTTTGCCATTTCAAAATTCTTTTCTCCTGGGTCTTTTCTCTTGGCACCTACCTCTCCATTAGCCTAAAAATCTTCGACTCCATAAACCCCTTAAATTCACTTTACATGGGCATCTTTTTAAAAGTTAAAATTGAAATACTTCCAAAGTAGTTCACACTTTACTGCTTCTATTTTATTATCCTCTGCAGTCTCTTCAGTTAATTATGATCTAATTTTTATACTTTTTCTCTCAATGCACAAAACTCAGACCTCAATAATTTTGAATTTCTCTTTTTTCTTAACTCTTGTTACACTGCAATTACTTCTTGTTTTTCATATTCCTTCACTGATGCTGCTTATCTCCATTTGTAAGTGGTTTCACTCATCAAGGTTTGTTTTTGGACCTTTTAGTTTTTCAGTCTGTACTCTCTCTTGGGGACCTTATATCAGTGCTTAACCACCACTTCTGGAAGAGGGATTCTAACATCCTCCCTTTTGCCCAGCTTCTTGACCTATATTTGTAAATTTATGTTATTTGTTAATGACCTGATTGAAGTTTGTGAGACATCAGAATAATTTTCTAAGTTTGTCTTGGTGCCCATTCATCCCCAAACTTTGTTTTTATGAGTTCCCCAGTAATATTTTTTCTCATTATATCAAATCAGTAT